AGTCAGTTGCACTGAAAGGATCAAAGAGTAACAACTGGAGGCTTGAAATCTTGTTCAGTAAAAAAGACAAAAAAACTATGTGGAATTTATATTCTGAACTCTGGGGGAAATTTTAGGATAGGGCTCCGGATCTCACTGGATGAATAAAAACCACAAAGCAAATCACAGGAGTAAGTAGACACCCTACCAGGAACAGGAAAAGTCCCACTCAGCAATACAATTATGTTTAGGAGATCAAGAAGTATGGGGATAATGTGAGACATGCCAAAAGTCAGTCCGAGCCAGATTTTGTAAAGGAAATTAAACAAATAGCAAAAGGTTATTCAGCTGTATAAATAAAAAGAACACAGGAAAGCATAAGTGAGTCCACTACACAATAATGACAGAGCAGAGATTAAAGATAATCTAGCCATGTCCCCAAAAGTAAATGAACACAAAGTACGAACTGATGCCCTTGGAGCCTAACAAGAGGAACTTCTCCTGTAGGCTGGAGTTCATTAGTTGGTATCAGTAGAACAGTAAAAAACCTGATGTTTTTGTCCCCTCTAATTTGTTACCAGCACTCATGTAGAGGTGAGTAATATTGATATAAAAAGCCATCATCAGGTCTACGGGTAAATGGCTCAATCACAATTGTGTGAAGTGGAAACAGTGGAATTGTGGGATGTTGACTCCATGTGTATTGTAGCTTTGATAAAATCATGCAAACTACAGCTGTTTAGGCAGTGGATGAATAAATAACCACTAACAACGTACATAATAGGTACATTCTGGACTTGGATCTCTACTTTCACCTCTGGTTGCCTTTATCTGGCAATGTTGCTGTTGCATGGCAGGCAGAGGTGGGAGGCCAGACGAAGCGTTCTTCGTTACCGAGCTTGTAATATTTTACAGGGGGTAACAGCAGTGACTTTTCCAAAATCCAGGGTCAAACAGGTCTAAAGTATTATCTGTTTCATTTAGGCAGTGCTTGCTAATTCCCTCCTGCGGTTTTTCAATGGCATAGACACCGAACTGACACAACCAAGTTTCCCCTCTTGTAGCGTACTTTATAGCAGCAGTTTTCAATGCTGAGTCAAATCCCCTTCACGTAGACAGTTTGAACTGAGTGTTGCTAAAACTAACATGGTGGTTCCACTTTCCTGGACACAGGGAAACAGCCATATCATTATAGGGAAGAAAGGTAAAGAAAAGTTTGGGATTTTTTTAATTCTTCATGAAGATGATTTACTATCTTCAATACATAAGCTCCTACACGTTGAATCAATATACAGGGACACAAGAGCTCTTGTCTCAAAATCTAATCTAAAATGGAAACGAATCAGAAAATTTCTTCTGTTTACACCAGCTGATTTTTTGGTCTTACCAGAGCTTAGAATAGGTCAGGCATATAAAGAGTGGGGGAGAAAAATTGTAATTTCCAGTTCTCAGATGGAGTTATTGGGATATAAAGAGGTTAAATATAATTGCCTGGGGCTGCACTAGTAGGTTTGGTCCACTGAGAAGAGTCTGTGTCCGGTCCAAGATCCTATGCCTATAAGCATATCCCCCCCCCGCCTCCAGATAAAATGGTGGTTTTAATTCAAAATAGTTGACTCCATGGTAGTGTAAGCTAATCACAAATGAAGCACTAAAACAAACACTGAAATGCCACTTTAATGCCTGCAGTGTTTCCTTAATGTCGAACGGTTCCAATAGGGGTTTATAGGAAGGACAACGAAGGACTCTTGTAATTGTTTGGAAAACAATTCCTGGAGTACTTCAGCTTAATATTGTGCAAAGGTACTCCCTCAGTTGTCTCAGTGCAATGGAAAGGAAGATGGTATAAATGAGGTCACAACATCATGAATGTTATTTCAAATCCTGAGCAGCTCTCACTTGAGGAAGTTGAACCTGCAATAGGTACACAGCATTAACTCTGATAAGTCTTCAATACAGATTTTTACATGTGAGAATCTGAGAATTGAAATCCTACTGAGAGACTCAACTGCAATATTTCATCCACAAGAAATATCTCTTTTTTTTCCTGTAGTGGAAAATTCTTGTCTTGGATAGGAAAGGACTTAGATGATAAGATGTCTAGCTGAGTGTTCACAGTTTACACATCTAACATTGACTAATTTATTAAATTATTTATCAAGATTTAACATCTTAATTACATTATACACAAAATGCTGAGTCCTAAGAGATATTGATGTCCTAAGAGAAACCAAATAGAAAATGCTATTAGAAAGTAAGTTAATTTCAAAAATGTCTTTTTTGGGGGGTATTTTTAGGCAGTTTATGTTCTTGTGAATTTATTTAGTGTTTGGTTACGTTTTTGTTTTGTTTTGTTTTGTCAGACACTGTCACTTTGTTGCTCTGAATCTTTAAAGTTTCTGACAATAGTGACAAAATCAAAAGCTTGGGTAAAATTAGGGTTGTTCAGTAAAGGTCATTATGGTGTAAGCTGTTTGTCCTAAAATGTGATCTAGTATTGCTTACAGCTATGAATAATTTTATTCAGAAAAATAGCTATTGTTAACTTGAATGAAAAACTTGTTGGTTTAAGACAGTCAGAAAAACATCTACTTGATTAGTCCTATGTCAATGCTTCTGAAGATGAATTTTCTTCCAGTGGTGTACAAATTAATTTACAAACATTTTTCTAGAACTAATTTGTGGCTAGATTATATGAACCTAATGCTTAATTTTCTTAACATGTATATGGGTCACTTTATACTGCTTCTTTATGCAGCTTGTTCCTGCTTTGCTTAATGATCTTTTTCTTTTTGCACTCCTGACCTCTTGAATCTACTGCTGTTTGTAGAACCTTTCCTGTAATCATTATTTAGCAAGCATTATTTAGTAGCTGTTTTTATTGCTTTTAGATAACTGTGTGTATCTCTGGAAGAAATGTTCAATGGAATAAAATTCATTCCTATCTTAAGGCAGTGTAAACAGTAAGAGCCTTCACAAGAATCTATTTCAGTTTGAAAAAAATAAAGGCTTAATAGCCCAGCTTAAACCACGCCGAAAAAAATCCTCCACCATGATAAAATGCTCTTTTAGTTATTATAGCCCTCCTTGGTTCTTTGATCTGTTAACTCTCTTATGCTGTTTTTATTTAAAAGTCAAGAGTAGAGCAGAGAGAAATATTTATAAGTCAAAAGCAAGGCGAGGGTTGGTGAAAAAGTGTCGCTGCTATTTCATTCGTAGAGGAATGGGACTGTTGAAACCTGCAGTAGTGTTTGGTAAAGTCTGCATTTCATCTCGTGTTTTTAATGCAGAGCCAGTGGCAAAGGTGGGTTCGTCTCTGCTCTCTTTCACAGAAAACCTCTTTAGTGTCTGTGCTTTCAGACTGTGAGTCACCCCTGGCCACGTGAAATCAGAACCTTCACTCTTCGGTCTTGAATGGTGTCTCTCCATGTTGTGGGAGATGAACCACACCTACCTCAGAGCTTGTATAACTTTTTGTCTGTTTTTCTCGTGCTTCAGCAAACGCCGCACCTGTGCTTCTGTGCTGTGCTTTCTAGTCCAACACATGCTGAATGTAACAGAACCACAACAGGGACTTCAAACTGTGAGAAGTTTGCAGTGGTGAACGTTGAAGAGTGGTGACGCTGGATTTTCCACTCCTCAGCAATGAATGGGAAGAGGCTAAACAGGTGCTTTATACTTTTTTAGAGTATAAAGCACCTCTTAGCAGCTGCTGCTCTGCTTTGAGTTTGCAGCCTGCCAATGCTGATGAATTACCGTTTTGTGTTGCCTGGTGCCCGTCAACTTGCTGCAACTGGCTGTTCTTCAGGCACTGTGCCTGTTTACGCTGAGAAATAAATATTTCAGCACCTGCGTGTTAGAAATATAGAGACACATTCATCTTCATTTTGAGATGTGATTGCGTTTTGTGTTAAGAAATCAAACACCTATAGCTATGTTTCAAGAGAGGAATAAGAAGTACCTTTCAAAAGTACAACTGACTCACATACTTATCTTGCTTTCATTATTTGCTGCCACTGTAGAGATAAGCATTGCTTCCATCAAGTGATCCACCTGCCAGAGTATAATACTCAGTATAGATAAAATTTCTCCTTTAGGTGATTGCCTGTAGGTACGTTGCCAAGTTGAGGTCATACATGGTCAGTGGTGGCGAGGTCTACATTCTACCCCAGCCATGGTACGGTGACATCCTTCACCCCTTTCTGTCCATACCCTGCACATTCCTGCATCGTCTTAGCTGCTCTCAGCCACTAGCTTGAATTTTACTTGTAACTTAGGGCATCGCTCAAACCTTTCTGTAGTGTACTTTAGTTCTTTTTGTAGTTTTTTTTTTTTTCTATTTTTATTCTTTAGCATTTAAATGTACTTCCTTTTCTAGGACTCTCTCTTTTTACTCATACGGCTTCTACAGCTATGCCATCTGGCTTAATGTCATTTTTCACCTGAGGCATCAAGAAAATACTTGGAGAAATTTCAAAGCTTCATCTTTGGCAATGATCTCTGCTAGAAATTTGAATTCAAATGCTTAGATTTTTACTTTGGCTCCATAACCTTCAAAGAAGAACACATTCAACTTGTGATCAGGAGTCCAATCTCAAATCTCTGCTGTGGAATGCATGAGGGATCCTGGCAAGCCCTAAGGACACCCCTGCCCTACTACTGACATTCCAGCCTGCACTGGCAGCATATGTACAACTGTCTTGGAGTTCAAGGGAAATAAAGCAGAGTCAACAATTCCACTTGTTGAATTTGTGGATTACAAAGATGCATACAGGGTTGGCCTCTAGTTATTCTTCCAGTTCAGCAAGTTTCAGCCTTTCTTTCTCCTACCTGCTCCTCTATCTCCTGGGTGATCCACCACTGAGATGTACACCTCCAGATGTTTCTGCAAGGAATTTTTCCATTCCCAAGCTCTGTTGAAGGACCTCCTGTGCCACATTTTGTTTGCTGTTCTTATTTGCAATGCAATTTTATAGGGAAACCCTTCCAATAATTCTGCTTTTCAAAATTCCTTCTTTCAGGAATCTCACTGTTTTTGAAGAGTCCCAGAAACCAAGGAGAGTGAATGAAGAAACAGGTGCTTACTTGAAGATAAAGGGAAAGTTTATCTAGAAAGTTTTTGATAACTGGTCTGCACAGCTTTACATAAGCCACAACATCAAAGAATGTAGAGCTATAGAGGACCGCAAGGGGCTCTCTTAATTCCTGAAGCAGCATCAGATCACATAACTGACTGCTCAACGTCATCCAGCACGTAGTCATCTACAGAGGTGCCTCTTACTGACTCTGAAGTTTTTCCACAGGTAACTCACCTGCTCTAAGAGGTGACTGACAACCTGTCCCTAAAAAATTCCCTTGATATAATTACCGTAAGTCCCTTGTTAGACCTGTCCAATTTCATAGTAGCATAATAGAGTTAATGATGTCATCATTACTCTAATATCATGCCCTGAGTATACTTGGCAATTTAAAGTATGAAAGCCATAATCAAGAAGCTGCATTTAAGGTAGAAGCATTTTCATTCCTTTAAGTCAGTAAGTGCTTTTTGCCCAGGTTTATTAATTCTTTTTTTGAGAGTATTTTCTAGGAAGACACAGAATTCTTTTATCTGACTTCTCAGCACCAGCTGTGCTGGATCCTAAATTTCTTTTGCATACCTGGCCTCCGTGAACTTTCTGATGAGCCCACACATCAAGCTCTGGAAAGGATCGTGGTTCTACAGATAATGTCTTGGTGAAGCTTGTGGAAATAAGCACTCACTGAATCGTGGTACACAATTCAACTTGTCTATATTTATACACCTTTTGGTTGATTCTTCTCCAGACAATTAGATAACCATTTTTATTTGCACAGATCACCATTTTTATTTGTTTCCTAGTTTTCTTTGGTAATACTTATGTCCCCAGTGCAAATGAAAACACAGAAGAGAGTACTTTTCTAACCTTACTTGTCAAAAGATTTCTTAAATGCAGATGTTGGCTTTTTCCTGCAGAAAAAGCTAAGCCAATAAAGTGGCATTGAAGCACTGTGAGAAAGAAAACTGTATAAATACATAAATAAGAATATAATATTACACCACTAATATTCAGGTACCACAAAAATATTTAATGCTGTAGCAAAGTATTTGAAATATGTCATAGGACACCTACCAAAAGATTGCTTGGCAACGAACCAGCAAAAGATAGACAACTAAACTTGCATGCCCATTCAAAAGGTAATAAAATTAGATCTTTTGAATGGAAAAATATTTTATTAGTGTATTTCTCTACAGAGAATATGAAATTAATCTTAAGAGAGACACAAAAGCTATATAGATGAACGTGATCTCTTCAGACAAAATAATGACTTGAAAGTGAAGATTGTGGGAATAGGTTATGTTCCTTATTCTAGAAGAACTATGCATGTTATTCCAACATTTGTTTTCCCTTTGAATTACCTGGGTTTCAATACAATGACTTAGAGAAAAAAAGTGTTTCCATTGGACTTGAGGAACTGTATCAGATTTTGTATTGGCATTTTGCTTAGCCTCAGCCTGTTAGACTTTCAAATAGGAATAAATTTCTTTCTTATTTTTTTCAAGACAGAACACAATTTTTTTTAGTGATAAATTCTTGCAGAAATAGTGGTTTTATGCAATACCATTTCAAAAGGTGCAAATTGTTTGGATGGTATTTGTGAAAACAGACTATACGTTATGTCAAGATTCATACACGGCTTTTAAGTGTCATTTTGGGGTTTTTTTGCTTGACAGATTATCCTAGCTCTGAAGAATATCTAGATTGTATTGTAGCATGCAGACAGTCAGTGAAACAGGATTGTTTGTCTCACTTTACCAAAAGACATTTTAATAAATTTCTGGATGAACGTTGTCTTCGTATAAGTTGAGCATGGCATGAACAATAACAAATGACTGGAACAAAGCAAGGAAGACTTATGAACTACCTAATGTGAGTTATATATAAGAAAACAAGTAAAGAGATAGTGAGAGAGAGAGAGATGGTGACAACAATCCTGGGAGTCTTTTGCGCAAACAAAATGTCCCTGTGTCCAACTTAGCTGGGAAATAAATGAGAAGCACTAGAGGTGAGTCAGCCAACCTTCTCTACAGTCTTGGATTCTGCACATATGTGACACATGCAAAACCATCGACCTCACACTGTGAGTCCAGATATGACAGCAATCACTGAATACGCTTCAAGACTGAGCATCAGTGAAGTTATTATATCTGTTCTATATATCAGGCTTGTAGTGACATCCTGAAATATGTTAAACTTAATGTGAAAGCCATAAATGATAAGTCCATCAAAACCAGAATGAGATATAAATTTTTCAGCCAAACAGAACCGTTCCATTTTTTTATTTCTGTGAAGGCTGAGAAAAGAGTCTGCTTTGCTTTTGGATCAAATCTTCATGAACAGACATATTTTGCTTTATTAATAAACTTGTATTAGAAAAATAGATAAAGCTCTTAATAAAAGTCTTAAGACAGATTCTTTCCCCACTGTATTTCAGCTAAAACGTTAAGCCTCATGTCTTTTTATAGGTTTTATAACTCCTAGTTAAAAATACATATGCCACTCCCTCTAACCATAAGTGAGAAAGAGGAACAGTCTAAAAAGTGCTTTATGGCTACAAATCCTCAAATAACTGACATTAAACACTACCAAAAGGAAAGAAGAGGGCCAATTTCAGCTCTCAGGACTGCAAACTAAACGAGAAACTCTGTCAGAGACTACTGTGCCTCAAAGAGCCAAGGGGAGGACTTAGAGAGACAACACTCCCTGCTGCTCTTCAACCACCCGGCAGGTAAGATCAAAGACAGTCTGATCTGAGCTCCTGGTGCAGCCTCCTTCCCTGGGGGAGAGAGATCCAATTGTTACACTTGCACTTCCAGGTGAATGAAATTGAGGAATTAGTAGGTCACTACAGTCTCTAGGTAGTGGGAGTCTAATGCCAGTGGAAGGTTCATACGTTGGCGCAGTGAGCTGGCATGCTGAGCCATGGCCAGTAAAGAGCCAGTCTGGAACTTTTAGACATGTGGGTCTGACCATTTCAGGAAGAGTTTTCCTCAGAGGCATGAAAGCTTTGCTTCCATTCCACACCGTTCCTAAATTCTTATCCACTTCACTGGAAAAATACATACAAATTATGCAGACATAAACCCAAATATATTTGGTTGAAAATAGTTGTTCACATCCAATTAATGGCCATTAGCATCACTTGGTCCAAGAAACACGTTTAGGGTTCAATGACTTTACATCCACCATGCCTATTGTCCTGAAATATTAAATAACTAATCTTCATTATAATGCTACCCATAAAATGAGAACTTAACATTTCGTTTGTGATTAAACTGTAATAAAATGATACATGTGCTAAGGCTGGCCTTTTATTTCTGATGGATGTGCACCAATCATTCCAGCATCATCTTATGCTGCTTGATTAAAAGAAGTGGTCTACTACTATACTAATTGTTATAATTTGTTTCATCTGTTGGAAGCAAAGGGATTAGCCATCCTTCAAATTTTCTTACCTGGAATAGACCCTGGTTTCATTGCTACAATCCCGTAATTACGAACTATTAAGAAACTGAAGAAATGCACTCGAAAGGAGCAACAGCCACCACCAACTGCACCACGCAAACAAAAAAAACACAAACATAATTTTGTAGGCAGTGAGGATTTTAGTCTTAAGACATTCATTGTTTTGTTCATCTAAAGAAAGTGTCTGGCCACCCCTGGAAGAAACTGGTTCCCAAGTTTCATTCCACATATTCTTACAGTAACTAATTAAATTCCGGAAGAGATGTTGTCCTCCTTTCACAGGTGAATAACTAGGGTTCAGGGAGAGCGAGTGATTAACTGAAGTAACAGATTCTGTTGCAAAACAGAGGCTTGAACCCTGCTCCATGGTGTCTAAAGGCTACATATTGAATTAACCATAAAATAACTCATTTGTCTCTAAGTAGAATATAAATAACTTAGCATGTTATTGCCAGCTGGTACCATAAAAAAAAAAGCTAACAGTTATGGGATAAGATGTGCTGCTGAATGATTATGATCAATTTTATATTTGTACTGCATTACCATTAGCATTTAGGCATATATTTATTATGTAGCATTTTTTAACACATCAAAAAAATCCTTGGTCTGAAAGTGTTTTAGAAGGTTACACAGTCTTACCTCCCTGATCCAAAGCAGCGTTAACTGCACTTGTGTTATCTCTCGATAAACATTCACATCAGACTTTCAGTGCTGCAAATTTCACAGCATTTCAGTAACCTGTTGTGGTGCTTTACTACCTTTACATTGCAGAAGTTTCCCTGGTATCTAACCTGAACCTTCCTCACTGTCTTTTAAGGTTCTCCTATTTACTGTGAACATGAAGAATATTTTATTTTCTTACTGCAAATGTCTGTAGTGATTTGTGAACTAGTGCCATGGTCTCCCTCCAGACTCCTTTTCTTTATGCTAGACAACCCAAATTCACAGAATCAGAGAATCATAGAATGATATGGGGTTGGAAGGGACCTCTGGAGATCATCTAGTCCAACCCCCTGCCAAAGCAGGTCCACCCAGAGCAGGTTGCACAGGAACGTGTCCAGGTGGGTTTGAATGTCTCCAGAGAAGGAGACTCCACCACCTCCCTGGGCAGCCTCTTCCAGGGCTCTGCCATCCTCACAGGAAAGAAGCTCCTCCTAGTTCATTTAGTCTTTAACACCCAAACACCTAACCATTCCTGCTGATCTCCTGTGGACTTCCTGCTTCTGTCCCACATCCTTCCAGAATATACTCCAGATGAGATCTCAGTGAGATCTCACTGCGGAAAGCTGTCTATCTATCCAGATAGCTATCTTTTTTCCTGCCTAATATTTTTGCTGTCTTGAAAGCCAGCCTGTAAATGCTGGTGCATGACAGAAAAAAACTGAAGTAGACAGGGGTTTGTGAGGAGAAAAACCCTCTGGTGTATCATTCACTTACAAGGCTGGGTGAGTCCTCCTCGCATTTTTTATTGGCATTTAAGCCAGTGTTTGCACAAATACATCTTTGTTTCCAAGGCCTCAAGCAATTTGAAATTAGCCTCTGTGACTGCTAGCTCTGGAAAGTAACCAAGAAAATGGTTCTTCTTAAAAAATCTAATAATGAAATGGAACCTAGAGTGCTGGGAATATTTTATACATGATACTGTGGCCTGCTGTGTTATTTATCTTCATGGTTACTATACATTGCTCTTACAGTTATCCCGCTCAATGTTGCAAAGACAAATGCCTCAGCACAACAGTTCATAATGTATTCTCTCTCTAAGGTGTACCTTGTATCAAATGAAGATGCATCATCCACACATTGCTGATGCAAGACAATTTGGGAACAGTTGCCCATTTTGTTAGAAAATGGCTGGCATCTGTGGCAAAGGATGTTTGGGAGCAAACAGGGCCAGAGGTGAAGGCCAGCGACATGTCTGATCTAGAGGAGCTCAAACACTTGGCTTCTGCAACTTAATAATGGTCAAATGAGCCAAGGTGGGACCCTGAGCTTTGAGATTTTCTTTGTTTCTGGTGTACTGTCTTACTCTTAGGGTTGGATATTTTCCATAGTCTGATTGGAATTGCCCTTTTTAAGGGAGAACAATGTCAAAGAAAACACAAAATACGTAGCAGCAGCTCTTTGATGCTCCACTACAAGCGTAAGCTGATGGGAATGGAGAGAATGGGGGATAAGTTAGATAACTGCAGAGACCAGCTGTCTCCTGTAAGACACAGCGTAAGCAGACTCCTTCAGTGATATGTGGCCCAATTAAAGAAGGAAATGGACACAAAATATGGAGAATGATGAGCTGAAAGCACAGAAATCAGCTGTCTTTGGGACGGTAAAACTAAAAGTTTGTCAAGGTATAAGTATATATATGCATATCACGTTACAAATAAAGGCGAGCAACAAATCAAAAGTTCCTACAAATCTCCATATTTGTTTTAGAGCATGGATGTTATCGTGATGGACCAGTAACTGTTCCAGGATTTCATTCATTTTGTGGAACCTCTGATGAACCTGTATGCAGATGGGAACTTAAGTGCTTGTAATCAAAGCATTACCATCTAAACATTTCATTTTCAGGCAGCTAATCCTGCAGCTTCTAAATTAAGACAAAAAGGAAGTGTTTCAGCTTCAAAAATTTCTGCATATTCTGATTCTTTGAGAAAAAAAAAGAGCTAAGATGCAAAATAGACATTAGTTTGGACAGTGAAACAATGTGAATTTACATGATCTTTCTAATTACGTAGAATGGTTATTGACTTTTTTTTTTTTTAAGGAAAAAGTACACCAGTACTTCCACAGTCTAGTCAGTATAGCTCTGAGGGTTTTTATTTTCTATTATCTAAAACAGTAAGTTAGAATGTCTATTCATACAGTTTTGATACAAGAAAATTTATCTGGAAAAAAAAATGTTTCAGACCTAATATTCTAAGTGATGTTCAGAAGGCTCTGGTGTGTGTATTCAGTGTACTCATTTAATATGCCCGAAAGATATTTGCATTCAAGATACTACAACCAGAAGTGGTGTATCATTCAGTACTTTTTTAACACCAACAATCATCTTTATCAAGTGTCCCTGTTTGCAATCTGCACCAAGTTTGCCTTCTGGATGAGTACATTCACATTTTCAGTAAATAAAGAATCCACGCATATTTAATGCATGATACTTAGCTATTCAGCAAGCTTTTATTTTTTTTCAGATTGCAGCACTGTAACAACTGCTAACAACTAAGCAGAAAAAGCAGGAAAAGAATGTTCATGTCAATAATAATAAGAAAAACGTTTAAAATCAAGACGAATGTTTGAAAATTGCAAAAATTTGTTGTAAAAAGCTGCGTACCTTATT